GGAAGACGACCTCCTCGCCTTCAGCTGACGTCCACGCGAATCTCGACGAAGCATCGAAGGCCCTCTACACTGAACTCAAGACATGGTTCGATAACAAGTGCTTTAAGGTGCAAGGTAGCTATAGCGTCGAACATCATGACTTCGAGATACGTGTACAAATTGAAGTGCGTGAAGAACGAGAAGGGCGATATGGAACGTACCATCAGACTACGCTTGGTTCTCCGAGTCCTTATGGACCTTGAAGCCTTCGACGCAGAAACATGTTCGGGAACGTCGCGAAGGTCAAGCCAGAGGCTACTCGCTAGCACGGCAGCGTGCAGTAAGCAATGGGTCATTGCTTCCCTCGACATCAACATGGCCTTCCTGCGCGGACTGACCTATCAGGAACTTGCTGAGGCTACTGGTGAATAGGAACGTGTGGTGTGTTTTACTTTGCCGCCTGGATCGGCCACGGTGCTCCGAACTCTCCCAGGATTCGAGCACTTTTGCGAGTCACAGCGCTGCCTACAGTGCTTGAAACCAGGCACGGGCACCGAAGACGCACCACGGGCTTTCTCACTTAAGTTCAGAAGGACCACCAGAGGTTTCGGTCTCCGACCCACGTCCTACGACGAGGAGTTCGAGGCGAGCAACAACTTGCTCACGGCCAAGCATGTTGATGACATTAATATGGCCGGTACTGAGGACACCACTGACAAGTCAGTCAAGTGCGTTGAATATACTTTTGGTAAGTGTAATTTCAACAAGCACACATGCACCAACTGTGCTGTGATATACACCAAGGATGAGGACGGCAATGTCACTTTGGGCCAATATGAATATATCAAACAGCTCCGTCCTATACAACGTCCCGACTTGACCGGCGCCGACGCTGATGCTCAGGCAACCAAGATGGTTGCAGACAGGTTCGTCAGCCTCAGGGGCGCGCTGGCGTATGCATTAATCACTCAGGTGTGGTTGATGGTGTATGTTGTTTCTCCACACCGTGTCCAAGAACCGACCGACGTCCCAGTGCGACGGCTGAGCGCGATCACCAGGCAGCTACAGGCTTGCCCGAATAAGATCGTGTACCGTGCGATGAATCCTAAGGGCGAGGTCGACCTGCATAGCAACTCAGGATACCGACGCCTGAGTGGAGACGCCGATGACGACGTCATTCGTGGGGCAAACCTGCTACGACGTGGAAACACGCCATCTGGTAAGCCTGTCGTTCACTTGATCGATGCGTACTGCAAGTCTCACCGCTTGCAGGTCCGCTCGAGCTATTCAGCAGAGACGCTAGCAGTAGCCCATAATTTGGAGGACTGCTATCCCACGATTGTGACTCTGCACGAGCTTCAAGCAGGGCCGCTCACGCCCACTCAGTTGACATATATAATTGAGTTGGGTGGCCTGAACATCAAGGTTACCTTGACCATAGATGCTGAATCTGTTTTTAAGTCCTTGTCAAGCAGAGACTTGAAGAAGCCGACTGAGTGTACCCTTTTAGGACACATCAGTTGGATACGACAGATGATGGAACGTGGGATCGTGCACATCATCCAGGGTGCGACGCGATATGACCGCGGATGGTCACACCAAGTGGAGCATCGACAGAAATGCTCCTACAAGCCATGAGAGGTATACAGGCCTTCATGCATGACCTAAAGAGTCATACTTCCATCGGGCCGGCCAGACGTCAAGTTCTGACGCCGCCTGATGAGTACGTAAAGTACAGAACTGTACAAGCGAGGCAACTTGCGAGCGGGTCTACCTTCCTTTTGGCCCGCTCTCTTTCTTCTGTCCTTGTGTACACTAGCTGCTGTGCCTGCTGTATAGGGGCGACGGGCACACGCTTCGTCTCCCCCCCCGACTCTAAAGCGAGCTGAGGGACGTAAGGAGTGGAAACGAGCGTGCGCCCGCGGCCGCGTCGGCTCAAGCGGCAGGCCGCCCAAATATGACTGTGCCTCAGTGCGAGGCGCACACTCGCTATCGAAACCAAAAGGATCTCCCTGCTGCTTGAGATGGCACATCCTCTCCTACTGGGACTAGCGTTGCTACGGTACAACAGAGCTGGAACTTGGCTTCGCCTAAGGCGAAGCTGCTGGCTGGGCCTCCCAACCTCCTTCAAACTCACCCACCCCCCTTCTGGCGGGAGAGGGATCAAGGGGGAGGGGTTTCCCTTCGAGTCGATTACGGCGTTGCTAGGTTTTTTCTCTCGCTGACAGGCCGGAGGAGGAGGGTGCAGGGGAAGGGGGCGACGAAGACGACGACCGACGGAGACGACGACCCGCGCAGACAAACTTCTCGCACACGCCGACAGGGTCGGCGGATTTACGGAGGCTGTGGGGACTGATGGGTGTGAAGTGAGGGAGGAGGGGGGATGGACGGAGGGAGGGAATGTGACATGTGGGGCCGTCTTGGAAGCTTGGGGCGCGGGCCCATCGGCTTTCATACAAGGGTTCGTGGCCTCGGGATCGCGGATTCGTCGTTTTCTTGAGGGGTGTCGTGGCTTCGGGAGTTGGGTGGACAGGCAAAGTAGGAGGTGGAGGGGGCGGAGGGACGGATGGACGGAGGGATGCAGGGAGGAGCAAGAGGGAAGGGGAGGGCTACGCAGTAGCGGATCGTTGGGCGCAGGGGGAGGGAGGGAGGTGGAGGGCAGGGGAGGGAGGGAGGGAAGGATGGATGGCGCAGTAATGGGCCTCTCTGGTGACGGCGCTCTTGGGTGCGTTCTTGTGGGGGAAGGAGGTCTAGGGGTTGCCCTCGGGCTTCAGAGGGCGGCCTTCGGCCTCGTGAGTCCCGCGGATGTTGAAGCATTTCTCTCACCTCCGTCTCCTTGTCACCTTCCTTGCTGTTCGTTTTTCCTCCTTGGCTCCCCTCTCCCTCTCCCTCTTCACTTTCCTGTTTTCCTTCCCACCTCCTCCCTCCCTCCCTCACTTCCCGACCCTTCTCCTCCCTTCCGCCCTTCGGCATTTTCCTTTCCCCCTGCTTATCCCTTTCCTTTCCCCCGCTCCCCTCCTCTTCCTCTCCATCTCCCCTCCCCCCCTTTTTCCTCCCTCCCCCCCGTTCCTCCTTCCTATCCTCCCCCTCCCCCCCTCTTCCCTCCTCACACGCCGTAGTCCTCCCGCCCTCTCTCACCCTCCTCCTCCTCCTCCTCCTCCTCCTCCTCCTCCTCCTCCTCCTCCTCCTCCTCCTCCTCCTCCTCCCCTCCTCCTCCCCCCTCCTCCTCCTCCTCCTCCTCCGCCTCCTCCTCCTCCTCCTCCCCTTTCCTCCTCCTCCTCCTCCTCCTCCTTCTCCTCCTCCTCCTCTCCCTGCTCTCGCTCTCGCTCTCCCCCCCCGCCCTCCGCTCCCTCCTCCCTGCGGCGGCGGCCCGAGCACCCCTCCGCTGCCGCCGCCGCCTCCCCCGTAAGTAGCGCGGCCCACGGTCCCCCCGATCGCTCCCTGTGGCCCTCGCGCCCCGTCGTTCGCCGAAGCCGACCTCTCCCTGCGTCTGGCCCTGGCCCCGACTGTCCCTGGCCCAGCCCGGAGGCGCCGTGGTCTACAAGTACAGTGGACATCCATGCCAAGAAGCACCCTGCTTGCCTTCAGGGTGCCCTGGGTTTCTTGGATTTCGAGGATGGCAAGCGCGACGTTCCCACACCAGAAGTCAATGGACGTCCTGGGGTCTCAGGGTTGGGTTTCTCGTGGAAGGCTTCTTGCGGTCGAGCACCTACCGTAGCTTTCGTGTCGCGTATATTCGCATCAGCGCTGCCGTCCCTCTCCTGCCGCTCCCTTGGGCCGCCCGCCGGCTCCTCGTGAGCCTGGTGATTGGGATGATGACGGTGATGACTGTGATGATGATGATGATGATGGTGATGACGACGATTCTGATTATGTTGATGATCACCGCTATTGTGATGGTGATGATGCTGGTGATAGTGATGATGATCATGCTGAGGGTGCTGCTGATGCTGCTGCTGATGCTGATGATGATGATGGTGATGATGCTGGTGGTAGATAAGGTGGTGATGTTGTTGACGATGATGATGGTGATGATGATAATGGTGATGAAATGTTATCTTCCCAGTGAATTTCGAGTCGTTAGCGGCAAAACTCAGCGAGCTGGAACATCTTACGGAGAAAGACGTGGAGGGTACCACACCCGACATCCGCAGCGTCATGGCCTCTACCTGCGAAAGGGTTGCGCAATTACAAAGTGAGATCTACGAATGCGTGCAGATATTCACTGGAGTTAAAATCGCTGATTCGTGGGGGCAAACAAATTATGATGATGTTGATGATGCTGGTGGTGATGGTGATGGTGATGATGATGGCGGTGATGACCGTTTCGAGGATGCTGCTGCTGCTGATGACGATGAGGATGCTGGTGATGATACTGACGAGGATTATGATGAAGCTGATGATGATGCGGATGATGATGATGGTGATGCTGCTGCTGCTGAAGAGATGATGATGATGATGATGATGATGATGATGATGATGATGATGATGATGATGATGATGATGATGATGAGGATGATGATGATGATGATGATGATGATGCTGGTGTGATGATGATGCCGATGGTACTGAGGATGATGCGTATGCATATGGTTATGGTGAGGGTGAGTGTGGTTGTGATTGACGATGATCATGGGGTTGATGGTTATGGTCATGGTGGCGGTGTGATGGTGATGGTGATTGTGGTGGCGGTGATGATGATGATGATGATGATGGTGGTGATGATGATGATGATGATGATGATGATGATGATGATGGTGATGGTGATGGTGATGGTCATGGAGATGATGGTGATGGTGATGATGGTGGTGAGGTGGTTGTGGTGATCATGGTGATGATGATGATGATGGCGATGATGGTGATGACGATGGTGATGGTGGTGGTAGTGATGATCATGATGGGTGGTGACTGTGACTGTGATGGTGATGGCGATGTTGATGATGACTATGATAATTGTGGTGATGATGATGATGATGGTGATGCTGGGGGCGCTGGCCGCGCGCCGCGCGCGGAGCGCGGAGGTTTCGCACACGGCCCTGACGCTGCTCGAGTGCGTCCTTCGCCGGTTCCTCGAGCTGATCCCCTTCTACTACCCGCTGAGGCGCCGCTTGTTAGGTGCGTTACCTGTGAGAGTCAGTTTAAGCATGAGCTGTTGTCTTCCCTTGCTATTGACGCGCATTACTGCTTACGAGTGCGCGCACTGTTCCCCGCCCTCGCCCTTCCACATTTTAATTCCCCCTTCGTCTCCATCCTCGCTCGCATCAGCCCCTCCCTTTCTACTACCCGTTGAGGCGCCGCTCGCCCGCGTCCCGCCGCCGAGGACGACGACGACGACGACGACGGACGACGGAACGACGGACGACGGAGCGACGGACTACGGTCGACGGAGGACGGATGACGGACGGCAGACGACGACGACGGACGGCGACGGACGGCGACGGACGACGACGACGACGACGACGACGACCGACGACGACGAAAGACGACGACGACGACGACCACGACGGACAGCGAACGATGACCACGAATGGCGACAGCTTCGGCGCACGAGGCGTCGTTTCGGCCGCCCCCGTGGGCCGAGGCGACGGGCCGGGAGTCGCCCCCCCGGGGGGGGAGCCCCCGGAGGCCATCGGGGGCGTCCGAGGTGCAGTTCGCGACTCCTCGGCGCGCCAGGGAAGCTCCGAACACAACTCGGGCAGCGCAGGGCGTAGAGGTTCGTGGTGGTGATGCTGATGCTGATGCTGATGCTGATGCTGATGCTGATGGTGATGGTGATGATGATGATGATGATGATGGTGATGATGTTGGTGGTGATGATGATGCTGATGATGATGATGATGACGATGATGATGATGATGATGATGATGATGAGGATGAGCATGATTCTATTGGCTTACGCCACATCCGCTGACCCCTTGATCGACTTGGGGATGTCGTGTTGCTGTCCTGGGGTGTACTTGTGTTGTTTTGTTTCTTTGGGTGGGCGGGTTTCGCCGTGGATAGTAGCAATGTCGCGCGCGACGAAAAGAAGGGCACCCTGAAATGCAAGGCGTGCAAATGATACCCATGCGAGCGCCGGTGCCGCGGTCCGTAGAAGTACGACCAAAGGGGGTGAGAGCGAGAGGGAGGACGAAGCCGATTAATGATGAAAACCAAGCGGGAGAAAACGGAAGAGGAGGAGGAGGCGGGTGAGGGTGGGGGAGAGGCGGAGGAGGGTCATCGGAAAAGGAGGAGGAGGAAAAGGAGGAGGGACGATTTGGTTTGGAGGCGTGTGCTCCTGTCTCTGGTGGCCTTTTGGAAAGATGTCCGACAGTTCGGACAGCGTGTGCGTCACCCTGGATGTCGAGACCCTGTGCAGGTGTCTGGACCGTGCAATTTGTCATGGCCGTCGGTCCAACCCGGCTTGGTGGGGGGTCAGAATCTGAGGGGTGCTTCGCGGGGTCTCTTCGGAACGCTCTGGAGGCGGGGGGGCAATGTCATATGGTGGAGGGGTAGTGCGTGGTCACAGCGTTTTTCGTGGCTGACTTTCGAAATGTTCGCCGTGCAGGTATGGAAAGATACCTGCGAACACCCGCGCTCGTAGACGGCACGCGTCGGTCCAAAGACCAGACGTGTGGTTCTCGAATGGGACGCGGCGCATCCCGCCACCTTGCTTGGGTTGCAGGTTTGCGGCCACACGGATGGTTAAGAGGATCTCGTGGGAGGCCGGACGGGGTCGTCTTGCAGGTAGTTTTGGGGCCTCAGGGGGACTTCCTTGGGGCTTCGTGGAGGCCTCGGAGGTTTTCTTGGAGGTCCTTCAGGACCTTTTGGGGTGTTTTTGGAGCAGGCTGGGGGCGTCTTTGGGCCGAAAGCTCGAAAAGGTGCCCTGTGGACTCCGTCTTGGAGCCGTTTGGGGGCCCTCTTGGGCTGTCTTGGGGGCTTCGTGGGCTGTTACTGGACCCTCATCGACCCTTTTTTTGGGCCCCTTTGGCCGCGTGGGGGCGATGTTGAAGGTTTCTTTGCCTGTTTTGGACGTTGTGAAAGCCGAGTGGGCAAGCGTGCGGAAAATGCTTAGTTTTCGAAGGGACATGGGCGGATTTTTGTTTCTTGTGACTTTCTTGGGCCGCATCTTGGGAGCCTTTTGGGGTGTCAGGCAACTTCGGAAACCGCCTGGAGGCCATCGTGGGCGTCTATGGGCGAAATGTAGGCGAATCGTGGCCCCCGGGGACCGTTTGGGAATCGTTTTTGTGCCTCGTTGACCAGTTTTGGAGCCCCCCGCTCCCCCGTGGCGCGTTCGGTCCTGGGTCGGGGTGGGCGAGGGGGGGGGGTCGAATTGCCGGTTTGGGGTCCGTGGGGTGGATTATGGAAGGGGGAGAATCTCACGCGCCTAGAGACCCACAAGGGGTCGGCGGATTCTAGGCCTCCCAAGTGGGGTCCGTGTAAATGGGGTCGGTGGATCGCGCCGCATCGGTGATGCATCGGAGATGCGGTTCGATGTGGAAGCCGAGTTGTTTCACGTCGACGTCGCCGATGCATCGCCCACGTCGGCGATGCGTCGCCCGTGTATCGGCGGTGCGGCGCGATCCTCCGACCCCATCTATTCCGACCCCATTTGGGAGGCCCTTAATGATGATGTTGATGATGATGCCTTGGTCAGGATGAAAATAATGAGGATGAGTGGTGCACATGATGCTGCTGATGGTAATAATGGGTGATGGCGATGATGGCGAGGATGGGTGATGATGCTGGTTGCAATGAGTCATGACGGTGGAGTTTTGTTGTTGATGATTGTGGTGATGATGGTGGCGATGGTAATTATCCCGCTGATGGTGATGATGGTGATGATGACGATGCAGATGGTGGTGGTGTTGATGTCCGGTTTGTTCATGATGGTGGTTGTGATGATGATGGCGGTCATGATGTTGATAATGTCTTCGATAACGGTGATGGTGGTGCTGATGATGATGCTAAATATACTGATATTGAGCATCGAAATGCTGATGGTGATGGTGACGACGATGACGATGCTGATCACGATGACGATGGCGATAATGATGTTTATATTGGTGATGATGATACTGGTGGTGATGATGATGGTGATGATGGCGCGGATAATGCTTATGATAAAGCTGCTGTTGATGATGCCGATTGGCGATGATGGGTGGGGATGATGATGCTGATGCTGGTGATGATGATGATGATGGTGGCGGTGATGACGATGACGATGATGATACTGATGATGATGCTGCTGCTGCTGATTATGATGCTGATGCTCATTATGATGCAGACGGTAATGGTGATGTTGATGCGGATAATGATGCGGATGATGTTGATGCTGGTGATGATGATGCGGCTTATGCTGCTGATGATGCTGATGTTGATGATGATTGTCTCGGTGATGATGATGGTGGTGGTGGTAGTGATGGGGATGGTGGTGCTGATGATGATTATTATGGTGATGATGATGATGGTGATGTTGATGATGCTCACGATGACGATGCTGATGGTGGTGATGATGATGCTGACGATGATGATGATGATGATGATGATGATGATGATGATGGTGATTCTGATGATGATGCTGATGATTCTGGTAATGGTGATGGTGATGGTGGTGGTGATGATGATGGTAATGCTACTGCTGCCGATGATGATGATGATGATGATGATGATGATGCTGATGACGAGGATGATGATGATGATGATGATGTTGATGCTGCTGATGAAGATGATGCTGATAATAATGATGATGTTGTGATGATGATGTGGTGATGATGGTGATGATGATTAATATGATGACAATGATGATGATGATGATGATGATGATGATGATGATGATGATGATGATGATGATGGTGGTGGTGGTGGTGGTGGTGGTGGTGGTGGTGATGATGATGATGATGATGATGATGATGACGATGTTGGTGATGATGATGATGCTGCTGCTGATGATGATGATGATGATGATGATGATGATGATGAGGATGAGGATGAGCATGACTCTATTGGCTTACGCCACATCCGCCGACCCCTTGATCGACTTGGGGATGTCGTGTTGCTGTCCTGGGACCCGCGAAGCCAAAAGTACTGACTTCCCTTAGTTTGTGTATGGATGTCGGCGTTATCGCAAGTTCAGGATCTCGACGCTCCAAGACAGCTCAAGAGGACCCCAAGATCGCCCCGAGCTGACGCAAGAGGACCCCGAGAGGGTTCACGTCGACCCAAGATAATCCCAAGACGGCCCAAGGGGTCCCCGAGTGTGCCCACAGAGGGCCCGAAAGGGGAAACACGAACTGACATGTCGAGCCTCCGCCTATAGCTGACCCCCGAGACCGCCAGCAGGCCCCCAAGGAGCTCCAGAAGGCCCAAAAGAGGCCCAAAAGAGGCCCTAAGAGGCACCCCAGAGACCCAAAAGAAGCCCACAGATACCCCGAAAACTGCATACACGAGGCTTGCGAGAGGCATCCAAAGATCCCAACAGGCATCCAATTGTCCCCTGACATACAACACAAGCGCGGTCGCAGGATGGGCCGAAGGCCACCAAATACGTGGGTAGTTTCTGGTATTTACTGCTCCATGCTGCTCCGCGTCCTGCTCCCCCGCAATTTCGCTGGGGTAGTGCTCTCCGGTTCCCACTCGAGCTCATCCTCCACCTCCTCCTCCTCCTCCTCCTCCTCCTCCTCCCTCTCCTCTTCCTCCTCCTCCTCCTCTTCCTCCTCCTCTTCCCCCTCCTCCTCCTCCTCCTCCTCCTCCTCCTCCTCCTCCTCCTCCTCCTAAGCTCTCCTGAGGGCCGTCTGTGGGGCCCTTTTGGGCAGCGCGGTTCCATGGTGTTTCGCGGACCCATGACGTGCGCGGGTTGGATTCATTTTCTGGCTGCCACTCACGCTCCGGAGTGGGACGTGTCTGGGGCACAGCCTAATATGTCCGCTGTTGATGAAGCGCTCTGCTGTTGAAGGCCGCTGGACCCCTGCCCGCAGCAACCCCCCCCCTCCCCCTTCCGGAAAACCGGGGGGGGGGTCACTACCGGTTCGAACCCCCCCCCCTTCTCTTCCTCGGAAACGGGGGGGTTCACTACCGGTTCGAACCCCCCTCGAAAACGGGGTGGCGGTCACTACTGGTTCG